TTGTATAATCCTTTTGTTTTCAATTTCATTTAATTCTGCTCTAATTTTGGTTATTTCTTTTCTTCTTCTGGGTTTGGGATTGGAATGTTCTTCCTTTTCCAGTTGCTTGAGATGTCCCAATTAAGTTAATTTCCTCTCTTTCCATTCTTTTGAGGAAGGCTTACAATGCTATAAATTTCCCTCTTAGGACAGCCTTTTTGGTATCCCAGAGGTTCTGATAATTTGTGTCTTCATTATTGTTTTGTTCCCAAAATTGGCTATTTCCTTCCTAACCTCATCTATGACCCAGCTATTATTCAGCATAAGGTTATTTATTTTCCATGTTTTTGTATGAGTATGCAGAATCCTATTGTTACCCACTTCAATTTTTATTCCATTATGTTCTGAAAAGATGCAAGGAATTATTTCTATTCTTTTAAATTTGCTGAGGTTAGACTTGTCACCTAAGATGTGATCAATTTTGGAGTATGTCCCATGGGCTGATGAGAAGAATGTGTATTCAGTTTTGTTAGAATGAAATGTTCTGTAGATGTCTGTTAAGTCCAATTGTTGAATGGTTAAGTTTACGGCTAAAATTTCTTTGCTTAGTTTCTTATTGGAGGATCTATCCAACACTGCCAAAGGAGTGTTAAAATATCCAACTGTTATGGTGGTGGAGGAAATATAGTTGCTCATGTCTGTTAGAGTCTCTCTTATAAATTGAGGCATGTTCCGGTTGGATGGATAAATGTTAATAATTTCGAAATCTCATCATGTTGAGTGTTGCCCTTAACAAATATGAAGTGACCATTCTTATCTTTCCTTAGTTTTGTTGGTTTAAAGCCTAGTGTGTCTGTGAATGTAATCATAACTCCTCCTTTTTTCTCCTTTCCATTTGCCTGAAATATACATGACCATCTCTTCACCCTGAGACTATGTTTATCTTTTAAGGTAAGATGAGATTGTAGTATGCAGCAGATATCTGGCCTGAGTTTTTGTATCTAGTCAGCCAATCTTTGCCTCTCTAGAGGGAAATTTTGTAGTTTTGGCTGGTGCTGGGCTTGAACCTGCCACCCCTGGTATATGGGGCCAGTGTCCTACTCCTTGAGCCACAGGCACTGCCCTTTAGAGGGCAATTTAGGCCATTCACATTAATTGTAAATATTGATAAGCTTGGTAGAATTTTGGTTATCGAGTTTTTCGAAGGTCCAGTGGTCATTTATAATTCTTTCCCCACTGTGGAAGTTGGAATTTGATCAAAAGTTTCTGAGTGAGTTTACTTTTGTGGTGGAGGATTATGCTGGTCATTATGGAGGATAGGTCTAAGTATATCCTGGAGAGCTGGTTTAGTTATTGCAAATTTCTTCAACATGTGAATGTCATTAAAGTATTATTATTATTTTTTTTTTTGCAGGTTTTGGCTGGGGCTGGGTTTGAATCCGCCACCTCTGGCATATGGGACCCGCGCCTTACTCCTTTGAGCCACAGACGCCGCCCTCATTAAAGTATTTAATTTCTCCATCATAAATGAAACTCAGTTTTGCTGGTTACAGGATCCTGAGTTGAAAGTTATTTTGTTGTAGGAGATTAAAAATTGATGACCTTCTAGCTTGAAAGTTTTCAGCAGAGAGATCTGCAGTCATTTTAACATCCTTCTCCTTGTAGGTTATGGTTTTCTTATGTCTGGCTGCTTGCAGAATTTTCTCCTTCATATTAACTTTGGTGAAGTTAGTTATAATGTGCTTAGGAGATGTCTTATTCAGGCTGAGTTATGCTGGGGTTCTGAAATTGTCTGCTATCTGAGTTTCAGAATCTCTTGGCATGTCTGGAAAGTTCTTCATTATTTCATGAAGAAGAGCTTCTGTGCCTTTTGAAGTCACCTCATCGCCTTCAGGAATTCCTATAAAGCGAATATTAGTTTTCTTGGAATTATCACAGAACTCTCTGAGAAAATGATTTGTTTTTGCTCTTCATTTCTCTTCCTCTTTGAGCATTTAGGAGTGTTCAAAAGCGTTGTCTTCAGTGTCAGAAATCCTTTCTTCTGCCTGCTCCATTCTGTTACTGAGGGATTCTACTGTATTTCTCAGATCTTTGAGGGCTGCAAATTCTTGTCTCAATGTGTCAAAATCTTTGGTGATTTTGTCTTTGAATTCATTGAATTTTTGAGACAACTGTTGAAATACTCCTTGAATTTCTTTCTTTCTTTCTTTT